AAGCTGTTTAGATTGTAAAAAAGCCTGTGTTTTAGGGTTATTAACAAAGTTCATACTCAGACCAGTAATATTTGGGGTTTCAAGTTTTTGCCATGGATATTTTGTGGGTCAGAAGATAAAAAGTTTGGGAACCACTGATCTAGACTGATGTTTTCATTTTATTATGTAATTGATTCATTAATCCTCAATGTGGATTTATGTGTACACCCATCTAACACACTTGGTTACATTTTATCTTGAAGTAGAAGTCTAATAAACAAGTCCCTGCTTTTTGATTGTTGCTCATGGTAAGAATAAAGAAAAGGTGTAAATAGATAGCTGCAGGTGTTTCATGCAGGTCAGTCAGGGCAACAAGTCTGTTAATGTGCTTTTTAAAAATAACATTCTCAGTATAATTATGGATACAAGTTGTAAAATTAGTGTACTATTAAATAATCAGACAACGAAAGCATTTAACTGAAAACGAATAAATCTGTTRCTTATCAAATACACCAAAACAAAACTGGATATTAGATCGTCATATATTGTCTGGTGATTCTTTCAGCTCTGGCARCTTGTCTGGATGCAGCATCCGTTGTTATGGGTACTTATTGTAACACTTCTCTGTCATGTTGTGCTGTAGACAAGTTCTTGACAGGTTTTGTCCTTTCCATTACAATCCTCTCAGCACAAAACAGTTTTCCACCACTTTCAGGGAGTCCTTGCACTGAGTCAAATTKACTGAGATTGGTTGAATTTGGGTTATCGGCTGCAGCCACCTCTTTTTGGAGGTACTGAATAAATTGCTGGACTAATAAATAAACAAAAGAAAAACACACTGATATGAGGAAAAAATGGACAAGGATTAAAGTAGTTGTAGCTCGCGCTTAATGAGTCGTCATTTATTTATCTTCATCCTCCCGAATAACAAGAAACCTAATTATTGCTAAAGAAAGTAATTTTTTGCATTGACTGTAAGCTTTTAAAATAATCAAGAGAGAAATGGAAAAAAAAAGTTTTGCCAAGAATTTTGTTGTTCAAAATTCTAATAAATCYAATTAAACACAGCCGTAGTTTTTGCTGGAGCTTTCAAGATTTTGTGCCTTTTTTTAATTAAATCAAGTGTTAAACATAGTCAGTCATTCTCAGGTTCCATCTGTATATCTGAGAAGATGTAAACATTGTTCCAGGGTTTGATAGCTAGCATCGTTTAGTCTTTCCCTCACTRTTAGCTTTAGTTTTGCACAGAGGGGGGAATAATCGTGGTCCTCGAGGGACATTATTCTTCATGTTTTTATAGCTACATGGTAGTTGCATGCTAGTATATGTTGCTCATTATTTGTAGCCTTTATGTTCACATTTTTGCACAAAAATTAGGTTGTTTCACACTGGTTGCACACTAGGAAATATAGCAATTTACTGCAACAATTTAACCCTTTTTTAGGATGAAAGTTTTATTCATTTCTATAAATTGTCTTAAGTTTTGAGTTGTTTTCGTACATCTTCTCCTCGTATGTTTTATTAAGACTCCCAGCATGCTTTTGGCAGTGGACAGGAACACTCTGTAAAGGTTGTCAGTGTCATCAGATTGCAGTCTCACTCACAAACCTGGCAGCCAGATTAGCGGGTCCTAGCTCCGATCAAATAAAGCAACACAGATGGTGAATAGCGGGGCTTTCATTACGACTTCGCACGTGAATAGATGAATATAATGTCAGCAGAGTTRTTTTTAATTTTAAAACATTTGAGGCTTGAGACGAGGAGTTTGAAGTTTACAAACCGGCTCGCCTCTGGGCCCTCGCCTCTGATCGTCTCAATGGTGAAAACCACCTGCTGTGTTTTTCTTTTTTCTTTCTTTCGTTTTTCATTTAAAAGCCGGCTGCTGCAGCAAAGTCRGAAAGAAAAACAAGAACAAAAAGGGGTTCAGTTCTGAGCATTTCTAGCTTGAATTCTCTGGTCGTTTTACTGCATTTTGTCGATTCTCACTGTGAAAAAAGCCCCTGTTTGTTAGAGTGAAACTTGAGACTACTTGTCTAGAATTTTCTAAATTTGTCAATTTGATGGTTTTATTGCAAATTGTTTCATGTGGAGCCATTTTTAAGATTAGACGTTGTCCTCTGCACTGCAAAAACTGTCCATCTTACCAAGTTTTAAAATCTTATATCCAGCCAAAAAGTCTCTTTGATCTTGTTTTGAGACTGATTTACTAAACAAGAACTGACTGTGTAAGAATAATAATTTTGTTTTCAGAATGTGTAAGATTATTTGTCTTGTTAGCCTGAAAATTTGACTCAAATTAAGTCAAAAATTTCTGCTAATGAAGTGAGAAAATTTTACTTGGTAAGATTCTTGAAATACTTGATTTGACTCATTTTTTTCTTATTTCAAGAATCATATCAAGTAAATTTTTCTTACTTCATTGGCAGAAATTTTTGACTTAATTTGAGTCAAATTTTCAGGCCAACAAGACAAATAATCTTACACATTCTGAAAACAAGATTATTATTCTTACACAATCAGTTCTTGTTTAGCAAATCAGTCTCAAAACAAGATCAAAAAGACTTTTTGGCTGGATATAAGGTTTTAAAACTTGGTAATATGGACAGTGTTTGCAGTGTGATAATTTTATCTTCTTTTGTAATAGTTTAATGTTTTTTTTAATTTCAAGATATAAGTCACATCTAACTGCACGTTGCTGTAAAGTAAAACTACCCAGTTAAGTTCAAACTACTAAGATATTTATTTAAAGCAGACTGAGTATTAGGGCAGCTTTAATTCCTTTGCTCTCTCCAAGGAAGTTCCACTTTCAAAGATTTCTTTCCTACATCCACAGGAAAGCGAGCAGTCGGAACAAATGGCTTCCTTTTTCTGACGATTCTGRCTGAGTTCAAAGAGGAAAGTTCTGTGGAAAGAGAGGGGATCAGCAAAAGAGTTGTATTAGTTTTTAATGAAAGATAAAAAGGATGTGAACAATCAAACGAAGCATGTGACGAAACATTAGATAGAAATGGAAGATATTTTAAGAAAGGTGAAGGGTCAGAGTTCAGCTTTTAAACAATTTTTTCCTTTATTTACTGTGAGTTAGAATGCACTCACTAAAGAGCTAACTTGTTGACAGTTAACGTGTAAGAGAAGCAAATTCAAGCGAGCAGAGTTTGTTTACACATGTGCTGGTTAGAGGATTAAATCTGAGCGTCTGAGATGGTCTATTGCTACTGCGGAGACCTGAATCCTGCCTCCCTGTGTCCACAGAACACGCCACCAAGGACAAGACGAAGGAGAGGGAAAAGAAAAAGGTCAAGGAACGGGAGAAAGAAAAGGAGAAGAAGAAGCACAAAGTGATGAACGAGCTCAAGAGGAAGAACGGAGAAGTCAAGCAGCCGATTAAAGGTTGGTGGAAACCGTTATGCACGTGCAGAAAGGAGTGCGGGGTCAAATGAATCCTGTCTTACTTATAGCTAAGTGTTTTTTTTTTTTTTTTTAATTAAATAATGAAAATAAAATGTGGAATGAAACAGAGTACACAGCTGATCAAATACAGTGGTTTGCAAAAGTATTCATACCCCTTGAACTTTTCCATATTTTGTCACATTACAACCACAAACATAAATATATTTCACTGGAATTTAATGTGAAAGACCAACACAAAGTGGTATACAATTGTGAAGTGGAAGCAAAATTTTACATGAATCAAAACATTTTTTACAAATAAAAAACTGAAAAGTGCGACGTGCAAAATTATTCAGCCCCCTTTTCCCTGAGTGCAACCAATTGCATTCAGAAGTTGCCTGATGACTGCTAATGACTCAAAAGGGTCCACCTGTGTGTAATCTAATCTCAGTACAAATACAGCTGCTCCGTGACGGCCTCAGATGTTGGTTAAGAGAATATTGGGGAGCAAACAGCATCATGAAGTCCAAAGAACACACCAGACATGTTAGGAATATGGTTTTGGAGAAGTTTAAAGCAGGCTTAGGTTATAAAAAGATTTCCCAAGCTTTGAACATCTCACGGAGCACTGTTCAATCCATCATCCGGAAATGGAAAGAGTATGGCACCACAGTAAACCTGCCAAGACAAGGCCGTCCACCTAAACTTACAGGCCGAACAAGGAGATCACTGATCAGAGAGGCAGCCAAGAGGCCCATGGTGACTCTGGATGAAATGCAGAGAGCCACAGCTCAGGTGGGGGAAACTGTCCACAGGACAACAATTAGTCGTGCACTACACAAATGTGGTCTTTATGGAAGAGTGGCAAGGAGAAAGCCATTGTTAAAAGAAAACCATAAGAAGTCCCGTTTGCAGTTTGCCAGAAGCCATGTTGAGGACACAGCAAACATGTGGAAGAAGGTGCTTTGGTCAGACGAGACCAAAATTGAACTTTTTGGCCACAATGCAAAACGCTATGTGTGGCGGAGAAAGAACACTGCACATCACTCTGAAAACACCATCCCCACTGTCAAATATGGTGGTGGCAGCATCATGCTCTGGGGGTGCTTCTCTTCAGCAGGGACCGGGAAGTTGGTCAAAGTTGATGGGAAGATGGATGGAGCCAAATACAGGGCAATCTTGGAAGAAAACCTGTTGGAGTCAGCAAAAGATTTGAGACTGGGGCGGAGGTTCACCTTCCAGCAGGACAACGACCCTAAACATAAAGCCAAAGCTACAATGGAGTGGTTTAAAAAAAAGAATATTCATGTGTTAGAATGGCCCAGTCAAAGTCCAGACCTAAACCCAATTGAGAATTTGTGGCAAGATCTCAAAACTGCTGTTCACAAACGCTCTCCATCCAATCTGACTGAGCTTGAGCTGTTTTGCAAGGAGGAATGGGCAAGAATTGCAGTCACTAGATGTGCAAAGCTGGTGGAGACATACCCTAAAAGACTTGCAGCTGTAATTGCAGCAAAAGGTGGCTCCACAAAGTATTGACTCAGGGGGGCTGAATACTTTTGCACATCGCACTTTTCAGTTTTTTATTTGTAAAAAATGTTTTGATTCATGTAAAATTTTGCTTCCACTTCACAATTGTATACCACTTTGTGTTGGTCTTTCACATTAAATTCCAGTGAAATATATTTATGTTTGTGGTTGTAATGTGACAAAATATGGAAAAGTTCAAGGGGTATGAATACTTTTGCAAACCACTGTATCAGAGGTGAACATGTTCCAATTGTAGCTCTAGTCCAAGGGTCCTCCTTCATCCTGCCCTGTTACAACAGAAACACCAAAAACTGCTGTTAATGTCACCAAACATGACTCACATCTACACAGTTAGAAGTGCAGCAAACAGAAACTTAAATACTGGACCATAAAGCTCCAGTGTTTTACACTAACTAGGCGGCAGGAGGAAAACGCCGCAGCTTCCTCAGTTAGGATCTTAAATCGTCACATCAGGTTGACCTTTCATCGTGCCTCTCGTCACATGGGGACGTGGTGCTCATGATTAATTTAGTCTGACCTTCTGACTTTGCGTGCGTCCGAGCACGCTGAGGGTTTTTGTGTTTTTTTTTTAACTTCCTGGTTGTAACTGTCACCAATGAGAGTATCTTATCTGAATCTGTTCTAAAGTATTTCTGTGTCACCGTCCTCCCACTCTTTTAGTCATTCTTGCATTTACGACTCGCTACTTTCCTTTTGAGTCAGTCCAATAAGGTGACCGCTGTAACTAATAGATCTTAGCCAACTCGAGTGGTTATTATGACTGTCAGTTTATCCAGAAACTGAGTGGAAATTTGGTGTAGTTGTAGCTGTTTGTAACCCTTTCTTTTTCTTTGTTTGCAAGACTTAAAACCGAAAGATTGTTGGCTTTATTTCCGTTTATTTGATTTGTCGTAGAGCTACAGACTGGCAGTCTTCCATGCTGGAATGTCACGACCACACTGTGACATTTCAAGGGCTTAGCGGTGCTTTAGGCACAAACCGTGACCAGCAGCAGCAGCTGAAAATTACAGAGCGATTGTCTGCGATCTGTCATTTTTCCTATTCTGTGTGGAAACAACGCACGCCCACATAAGGTTGATTCATTTTCTCATTTCATGTGAATAGTTAGGAGAGTGGTCTTATGAGAGACTGAGTGTTAATCCTGCGGGAGTCTGGGGCGTTTAATCGTGTCTGTTTATGATAATGGAGACGCAGTGAAGTCCACGGTGAGACTTTAAAGTCGGCTGAAAGAAAACAGTTGCGGGGGATGTCCCCAGCAGACAGGAAGTTTTCAGTAATAGCTCCTGTGGTATTCGATCAGAGTATTACATTACGCACACGTGGAAGACGGAGCGACCGAGAGGGATAAAGTTTGGAGGATTTAATCAGAGGTAAAGTGTTCAGTTCACAATTGAAAAAGACGACCGAGTTAAAAGCAGAGAGCAGTACCCAGTGGAGACGAGTATTGGAAATCGATGAGTGGCAAACGGCCGTTCTGACAGTGAATCTGCTTTACTGCCTGCGAGGTTTGTGGGTTTCTGTGTTGATCTGACTGTGAACTTATTTGACTTTAAACTGATTATAACCAGCTCACCAAATTTTAATTATTTATGAGACATCTTCATTTTTAAAGCAGCTACCCTGATCTAAACAAGTAGAGACTGACTGTTGTTCAACACTGCATTTTATTGGTGTTTATGGTTAGTTCACTATTAACTGGGTTTAAATTAAAATGTAATTATCATTCCGTATTTATGCCAATATACGTTAATTTTGCAATTTATTACTTCATTTTAAATGTTGTCTATATCGAAGACGTTATAGTAGCATATTTGGCTTCAGTTCTTTTATTTTTCCGCCACCACAAACTTATGCAGCATTTATTTAGTTAAAAAGATGTTTCTGTGTGTTTATGAGGGTTGAGATTTGGGAACGTGGGGGAGGTTGACTTGTGTGTTAAAGAGCTTTTGGATTAGTTGCTTCAGTATAGTGTGTCAAATACCGTCTGTCTCTGTTGCTCTTTTTAATAATCTCTATCTCCCTCCTGTTTTTCATTCTGCCTCTCATTCTGCCTTAATCTGGCAGCGAACATGTGTGGACTCAACTATAAATGCGTCTTTGTGTAAACAAAACAGCGATCAACAAAGTATTCTGACAGAGTAGCGCCTCTATCRCACATTCGCACACCGGTATTGCGGTAAATCCATTAATGTCAACTCGAACATGAAAAAAATCCGAGGACAGATGAGTCGGCCTGCTAGCTGGTTGCTAGTTGTTCTGCTCCAACACACACACGGTGACAAATCGACAAGCACTTAGCATACATTTCCATGTTCCCATTCGTCTCGCCTCGAGCATCTCAGAAATGTACTGACGTATGATTTCATCTCTTCTCAGATACAGACAAACCTGCTTCTTGACTTAGTCATAGATGCTTTATTCAAGGGATTCTATTTCAGGACTTCCATATTTATTTTGTGTAAACATGACCGGAGGTGCACAGCATCTGGGAGAAGCGATGAGTCATCTGTCGGCACTTAAAATAGTTTGTGCTAATTATTTTTAGTTTTCGCCTTTGAAGTGTCTTTTGTTTATTCAGAGTCTGAATGAATATCGTCTGTTTGTTTTTGTATTCTCTTGCCTATTTAGTTTTACATTGTTTGTAAGGTTTGATCCATCGCATCAAAAAGTCACAGTTAATCTCCTTCAGCTCTGTTTTGTTTGAATGATTGAAGAATCTCTCCTCTCCTGTAACATCTTCCTTTCATCTGTTTCTCTGTCCAGAGGAGAAAGACAAAGCAAAGATCAGCGCAGAGGAGCTGCAGATTAAAAAAGTGAAGAAGAAAAAGAAGAAGAAACACAAAGAAGGGGAGAAGCACAAGCGAGTAAAGATGTACCACCGCTCCTGCCAAACCATCTGTGCCGGCCTGCTTTCGTCCACCAGCTCTTCCTCCTTCTCTGAACGGACAAACAACTCCTCCCCGTCGGTTTTTAAGTCTCCGCCAGCTTTTTACCCTCCACCCAATGGCAGAGACTCCCATCTCAGGCCCTCGTCGCCTACCTCTGCCTCTAAATCTGTTTGCAACTCATCAGCTCTCCACAACTTGGTCAGCTCGATCCCCTTCCCAACAAAACACAACTCACACTCTGCCTGTCCTGGCATGGTGGGGCTGGAGTTCGCTCCCTACATTTACATAGAGACCCAGCCGAACGGAGGAGCTCTGGTGGCTCATGCCTATGCATCCCAGCTGGCTTCTCTGTCTGCGGAGCAGAGGCAGAGATTTGCCCAGGAGTTTGTCACTCTGGCCTTCAGCGAGGACGCATCAAAGGTACAACATAACATGTTCTCTTTCATTCAGGTTCATTCAAATTCAATTTGACTCTATTTAACATAACTAAAGAAAATGTGGTTTCTGTCATAATGCAGTGAGTGCTGAATAATAGCTAAAGAAGTAAAAGCTAAAAGTAACTCATGGTTTGCTGAAAACCGAAAGTAACAAAACAGTAGTTAGAAAATAAACAGTAAATGCTTAGCACAAGTTTAAAGCAGCAAAAGGTAAGCTAAAAGTAGCAAAAGATCAGCTGAATATTACAAATAGCAAAACAGTTGCTAGAAGCGAAACATAATAAAAGGTTAGCTAAAAGCTAAAAGTTGCAAAACACAAGCTAAAAGTAGCAAAAGGCTAACTAGAAGGTAAAAGTTGCAGAAGGCAGCTAAAAGCAAAGAGTAGCATAAAGAAGACAAAACCACACTGTGTTTTGAAGCAGATTTCTAAGTGAACAATCTTGTGTTTCTGTGGCAAAAATATTTTTAAATACAGGTTCATGTTCAAAAGTATAAAAGATACAAAACCTAATAGTTGTAGCACCCACTTCTAAAATGAGCTGAATTTTTTGAAACACAAAAGGCGAAAGTAGCACAAAGTAAGCAGAAATAGGCCACAAAAAGACAAGAAAACTGTGTGAATGCTGAGTCAGCATTTACACAATTATCGGTTTAAAAGAGAAAGTGATCCTTACTCTAAGTCTGTCCATCATTTAAACTTACAAAAATGAGCTAATCGTCAAAATATCCTACTACTCTAAACTGTTGAATTTTTTATTTTTTTATTTTTTTTGCAGGCAGCTCATTATGTGATGGCAATTGTTCACGGAGAAGCAAAGTACCTCCCGGACTTCTTGGATTACTTCTCCAACAAGTTCCCGTCAGCTCCGGTCAAAATGGAAATTCTGGGAAAGAAGGACATAGAAACCACCACTATGGCTAACTTCTACTCTCAGGTCAGTCAGACAGGATCGCAAAGAAAGGGGGAATGTGAAGTATGTCTGAGCTGGAGCAGAGTGGAAACAGAAGTGAATGTGAAAGATCTGACAAAAAGAAGTAAAAAAAAAAAACAAGTAAATGTTAAAATAGTTGTCCTCTCTTAATCATCGGTGATTTAATTTAGAATTGTGTTCACCAGGAGTTTGTCTTCTGCTATAAAAGTCCCCAAAAYGTTGCTCAGACTGATTAGTTTGAATAAAGGCCTGTGATGTAACAGGTGTTTGTTGAGGACATGATGGCAGCAGAAGCTGAAGGTGTGATGCATGAAGCACTGCTGAGACRGTTGTTTTCAAGCTTTCTCACACATGCAGGCGTGCTGACACAGGAAGAGGTGGAGGCTTGCAAATTAAAGCTTGTCAATTTCTGCACAACGATAGACCCACCCCCACACACACACGCGCACACACACTGTGTATCTATTGAAAAGGTGTCAAGCTGCATGCCTTAGTATGGTTCAAAGTAAAGTTATTATTAGTGAATGGAGTTGGCAAGTGAAGAGGTGTCTGCTGTGTGTTTTCATAAAAAAGAAAATCTATAAATGTATTTTGCTGCGATTGGGTGCTTTGTTGATGTGTAAAACATGTAAAAAGTGTATGAATGGGTTGACCATGGGTCTGTTTTAATAATAAAAACACTTGCTTTTTAATGATCCATCTGCTTAGATGGATATCTGGCTCATGGTTTTTGTTGCAGGTAGTTCAGTAGAATTTTCTGACTGTTGGGGATTGATTTGAGAGCGATCAGTTGCATTAAGACCAGGTGCCAGAAGTATTCAGTTTTACAGACGTCAATAAGATGTGAAAACAAATAAAATCATAAAGAAGATATGAAACRGATTAAATCTATGAATAGAGGATGCCACAAAACCAGAAATATTCTGCTATAATTACATTTTTGAGACCAAGTAAAGGATGGAGATTGTTTAAAGTAAAACACTGAGTAACTGCTGTGTGCTTGATGAAGTTGTATAGTTGTGGTTTTAGCAGTGTGGTTGAGGCATCTGCCCCCATCTGTTCAGCGTTAATAACCCAAGTCTGATTTCTTAAAGTGAATGAAAACCTTATTAACAACAGCTGAGTCGTGTGTAGAGCACATCTGGGCTTAAGATGAGAAAATGTGACTGGGCAAAGTGCAAGAATGAGCGCAAGTTAAGAGGCTGGGAGAGATGAAAGCTGTCAGGCAGGTAGCCGGTTCACAGTCAGTCAGAGCGGGAGTCTRAACCACATGAAAAGCTGTTTTTCATCTTCTGCTTTTTAAAGCAGCTGCAGCACGAAACCTTCTCAGACGGCCCTCTWGGAACGCCACATGACGTTTTGAGGCCAGCAGGACAACTAAAATGCGAGCGTGTCTTCCTGGTGGCGGCTGATCCGGATTGTCTCCAGAGTCCGGTGACACAGCTAGACCTCTTCATCGAGAGTTGTTCCGTCTCTTTTGATTATTAATGAAATCCCTTTTGTTGCTTCAAACCTCCTGAGTGGCTTTGTATCAGGATCCTGCCGGTTCTTTTTACCACTGTCAGTGTGTTTGTACTACAGGAGGTAGATCAGTGTATTCTTTCTATCACTGTCCCTCCGGCTTATTTCTATTATTTTTGTTGTTGTTGTTGAAAATCTTCTTGTGGCTTTGCATTTTCCTTTCATTGTTTGATCTCCTCGCATTTTTTGCACAGATTAATTGAACATCTAAAGAGACCATTTGATCTAATCTCTACCTGCAGAGGCCGTGTCTTTGCGCAGCCCCTTTTCAGAGTAATGTTCCCTGCAGGGCTAACGTCATTGTCCACCAGCCTTGTTAATTTTTTTTCCCCTGCCTTGCAGCTCTTGGCAGTGACCTTGGAAAGTAGATATACAGTCCACGCGTACACACAGATGTGAGCATGCATACTGATAACGTGTACACACACACAGTCACACAGATTAATGGCGTATCATCCACATTTTTTCTCTGCCGCGTCCCCCTCCGTGCTGGTCTTTCAGCGTCTCGTTTATCCCCTCCGCTCTGTTGTGCAGTCGCTCCGTGCTCCAGCCGTGAATGGCTGCACTGCTGCCTTTTGTATGGCGTGAGTGTAGGAAAGAAAGAGAGAAGGGAGGGGTGGGGGAGTGCAGCTGSTTGTGAAGGGTGTTTTCTCTCTCTTTCTACTTCCCAAGCTTCAGAAGTTCACAGTATAATTGGGATGTTCAAAATGTGAGCGCAGGCTGCGAAGTTGCTGTACGTCTGTGTGTTTGTGAATTTAGCACCTGACTGAAGCCATTTTCAGTGTTTGTGAGGATTATAGAAGATTACAGCACTCCATTTTCTCAGGGTAGACCGAGCCCAGCAGTCAATACATGATGGGCTTGTTTTGCGAGGTAATTCTCTCCCCCTGTTTCCTCGCTGAGAGTAGAAGTGTTCTTACAAAACCAAGCGATAAACCTTAAAAAAATGGAGTTCAGCTTTTTAAAAGTTGTCATACCATGCTTATGTGCTCATAGATCCAGAATTTTCACTTAATTCTTGAGCTGTTTCTCTGAGGGGAAATAAGTTTATAGATTAAAAATGCTGTTATCTATTTATGCTGCATTTATAATTAAATAAGAGTTTTGTTTTTGTCAAACTAATTAGGATTGGCCCAGTTTCAAACATTAAAAAAATACAATGTAATTCACAACTAAAACCAAAGAAATAGTATTTCAATTGTTAAATGTGTTGCTGTATGGAGGACAGAATCGGACCAAATTAGAAAAAAAAAGCAGAAATATCTAATGGACCAATAAATAAATACACTTAAAATGCAACAATTAAAATAGAAAAGGAGAACTGTAGCTCATGTTTTATCATATTAATTTTCCCAGTTTAATTACAATAAATTATATATTTTACCACATAATTTAAATTATACTGTTTTCAGAAAAATATATATATATTATTTTTTTATTTTACTTGTTGATGCATCTGTGTCTTTTTAAATTATTATATTCTTATATCTTATATTTATCTTCAGTATATTCAATCTGTGTTTTATTCTACCAATTTTATTAATATTGCAGATATTGGAGCACATTTAATGACATTTTAACTCCTCAGCAGAGTCAAGTTGCAAAATATGTCAGTAATATTTACTGTATGAGAAGGTCTCTGAAGTGTGTATTTTATACAGCGGGTAAAATAAGTATTGAACACGTCACTATTTTTCTCAGTAAATATATTACTAGAGGTGCTAATGACATGAAATTTTCACCAGATGTTGGTAACAACCCAAGTGATCCATACATACAAAGAAATCAAACATAAATGTCCAGAAATGAAGTTATTTGTAATAATGTGGAATGGCACAGGGAAAAAGTATTGAACACACTTACTGAAATTTATCTAATACTTTGTACAAAAGCCTTTGTTGTCAATGACAGCTTCAAGACGCCTCCTGTATGGAGAAACTAGTGGCATGCATTGCTCAGGTGTGATTTTGGCCCATTCTTCCACAAACAGTCTTCAAATCTTGAAGGTTTCGTGGACCTCTTCTATGAACTCTGATCTTTAGTTCTTTCCATAGATTTTCTGTTGGATTCAGGTCAGGTGATTGGCTGGGCCATTCCAGCAGCTTTAGTTTCTTTCTCTGAAACCAACTGAGAGTTTCCTTGGCTTTGTGTTTGGGCTCATTGTCTTGCTGAAATGTCCAGCCACGTTTCATCTTCATCATCCTGGTAGATGGAAGCAGATTTTTATCAAGAATGTCTCTGTACATTTTTCCACTCATCCTTCCTTCAATTATTTGAAGTTTGCCAGTACCATATGCTGAAAAACAGCCCCACACCATGATATTCCCACCTCCAAACTTCACTGTTGGTATGGTGTTTTTGGGCTGATGTGCAGTGCCATTTGACCTTCAAACATGATGTGTATTCTGGCATCCAAACAGTTCAATGTTGGTCTCATCTGACCAGACTATATTCTCCCAGTATTACACAGGCTTGTTTAAATGTTGTGCAGCAAACTTTAAAGGAGCTTCAACATGCTGTTTCTTCAGCAGTGGAGTCTTGCGTGGTGAGCGTGCATACAGGCCATGGTGGTTCAGTGCATTACTTATTGTTTTCTTTGAAACAATTGTACCTGCTAATTCCAGGTCTTTCTGAAGCTCTCCACAAGTGGTCCTTGGCTCTTGGACAACTCTTCTGATAATTCTTTTCACTCCTCTGTCAGAAATCTTGTGAGGAGCACCTGGTCGTGGTCGGTTTATGGTGAAATAATGTTCTTTCCACTTCTGAATTATGGCCCCAACAGTGCTCACTGGAACCTTCAGAAGTTTAGACATTCTTCTGTAACCGATGCCATCATTATGCTTTGCAACAATAAGGTTGTGAAGGTCTTGAGAGAGCTCTTTACTTTTACCCATCATCAGATGGTTCTTGTGTGATACCTGGCCATCATTTGGGACTGAACCAGCTGATATTAACTTGCACTGACAAGGGGCAGGCTTGCTTTCTAATTACTGAGAGAGTTCAGCTGGTGTCTTGGCTTTCCATGCCTTTTTATACCTTCCTTTCTTCATGTGTTCAATACTTTTTCCCTGTGCCATTCCACATTATTACAAATAACTTCATTTCTGGACATTTATGGTTTGATTTCTTTGTATGTATGGATCACTTGGGTTGTTAGCGACATCTGGTGAAAATTTCATGTCATTAGCACCTCTAGTAATATATTTACTGAGAAAAATGGTGACGTGTTCAATACTTATTTTACCTGCTGTATGTAAAATATATAATTTAGCTTTTTTATTATTAATGAGTGCAGAAGGTAGGATTTATATTTGACATGTCCTAAGTATAGACCAAACTTAATTTAAAACCCACAGTCATAAACGTGATTTATATAGAAACCAGCATGAGTTTCTCGCAGCACGGTTCTGCACAGATAACCTCCCCGCCCTGCGAGAAACTGCTGAAGTTGGAAGCAAACACGAGCTTTGATGTGACTCGTTTTGTTCACAATCGCCATATTTTATGCAAAGTGCGACAGAAGTGAATCCAGTTTCTTTGGAAACGCCACACTGTGAAAGGGAACGCACGCGATGATGTTCATTCTTTGAAAGCCGCGTCACAAATTGAACCCAAAACACTTTGGTTTTATCTCGAAAGCATCTGTAAAAACTGTTCCCAGTTGTGTGAAATCACAGTAGAGAGATTGTACTTAAAGGTGCGAGGAAAACAGTAATGTGCACGAGTAAACTTTTTATTTTTAACATTTAGTCAAAAAAGCTCTCATCACGTACTGTAAGTCCACGTTCCTATGCAATAGTAACACTTTTCTCTCTCACTTCCACTTGCTTTGTGAGCGGCAAACATTTCTCCGTGAAGCTCAGCCGAGAGAGAGATTATGAAACAAGAAGGGTGTCCAGTTGTGTCTGAGGCAGCAGCCAGAAGCTTTTGTTGTGACGCAGGCACAATTATGGACTAATAGACTTAGTAATCTAGAGTCTGGCTGTTGCAGAGAGCCTGGGAAGAGGAGGACACACACAGATACGCAGAGGTTGTTGAAAGGTCAGGTGGAGCAGACGAGATGATGGCACAACAAGAACTCAGCGGGGACGAGTTGATGAAAGGGAGGGCAACTTGTTACAGAATATTAACAAGAGAGAGATCGAACGTTTTGGGAGGACAGTCGAGACTGAAAGGGGAAAAAAAAGTACATGCTTTGATGAAGACCCAGATCATCTTGAAGGGGAAGTCTGCCACATCAACCGTTTCCTTCTGTGTTCCTTTAAGCTTCGTGTGAACCACCGACTGTAAAACGTGTCTGTTTATTTGAGCCCGGGTAGTGTTTCCTAATGTCCCTCTTTGCAAACAACGCAGGGGTTATTCAGCTGTTAAATTATGCACATGTAAACACAAACGCACACAGAGAAATGGAAGCTCGTAAGCTGAGCTAATTAAAATCGCACACCCATATAGATGATCACAAACACACACACCGTGGCTGCAACACAGTCAACAGTTACTTGTAAATGGGATGATGAATCCAAGCGTGTGCTCATCCCTTCTTTGACTCAATGACACTATTTCAAGTCGTGTGTGCGGCGAATATCCTAAGCGTTTAGCACACGTCGGCAGTGTTAGGGCACAGATGCCATGAAGTGAAGCAGAAAACAACAACAAATAGCCATGTGGCTTGGCCTGGTTTTCCCTGATAAACAGGCCTACTCTGATATATTTAGCTTGTCGTAAATTTAATACGCAGGCTCTGTGACTCATGATAATCAGTTGAGATGGAGTCCAACTTTCCTATTATCTTATCATAAATTTCTCCCTCTGCCTTCTTTATCTCCATCACTTTAACGTGACTTTAACTGTTCCCCATGTCCTCTGGTTCTAACATCCAGATAAAACCTCACATCATCTTCATTTCCTGTTCTCTTCCTATAATTTCCTCCTGTTCTCTCTGTCTYCGCTGTAGTTCTCCGTTTGCCTTTCTGTTTCCACTTCCATCCATCTGTTTCGCTTCCTCTCGTCCCTTTTTTTCCTCCCGTGTATCCCGACTCTTCTCCCTCCGCTCCGTCTCTCCGCCTTCATCTCTGCCTCGTTGCGGAGCGGTGACTCACCAGAGGCGCGCAGCCAAGGATTTGGCTCACTTAAACACACACAGATGCCCATAGAGAGAGACACACACACACACGCACATCCTGATCAGCCAAGAGTACAGCGTGTAGGCCACATGCTGCACGTACTGCGCACACATGCGCATGCAGAGGCGCCGTCGAGGGCCAAGAGTGTGAGAGACGAGTCGACACGCTGTCACACACACATGCACAGTGCTCCGTCAGCCAAGTGAAAAGCAGCAAACAGTCTGAGTCACATCAGTGGAGCAGAAACATCAAGTGAACGCGCCGACACTCGCTGTCGATTTTTTAAAATTTATTTATTTATTTATTTTTGACACCCTGTAGTGACTTACAGCTTCCTTGTGCACTTATTATGTCCCAGTTTTGACTTTCTCCCCTCGGTCCCTCTGGAATAAACTATGAACATTCGTGCTTTTTGGTAAAGCCGGCGATACGAGGCCCTCGTTAGCTGAGAGGTGGCGGTTTAGTTTTGTGCTTGGAAAATAAATAAGCTTGGCCAAAGATGAAGCAAAAGGTCAAAGTACTTACTGTCACTTTGTTGTAATTAGTTTGAATAATTTAGTTTTTGTTGTTTTCATATTGCATTTTCTCACTGTTTGAGTATATACACTCACCGGCCACTTTATTAGGTACACCTGTCCAACTGCTCATTAACACTTAATTTCTAATCAGCCAATCACATGGCGACAACTCAGTGCATTTAGGCATGTAGACATGGTCAAGACAATCTCCTGCA